GGTAAAATTAACATTACACGCTCAGGTATCTTGCACCTCCAAACTGTTCGCAGGCAGATGTAAGATGAAAGACCCTGAATCCACCAGGCCTATACATTATATCCCTTCAGTTGGGCTAGCCTCATACTACACAGAAACGTCAACCGAGACGTCTCTCTCTCACCAGCTTTGCAGCTGGCTCTGGCAATAGTCAAAACATGAAACAAATCAACGTGTGAATGTGTATGTCTGTTGGTTAAGTGGTGTGTAGCTAAAAACATTCTCACGACCTCTAATACATGTCGTGACTGAACATGGGAACATTATGGCTAAGTCTACAGTTCTACACGTCATAATAATAATATTAAACATCCTGTCTGCTGACAGTCATCAACTCTTCTCTCTAGTTATCCTTGACCAGATGTACCCTGTAGAAACTCATAAGCATGACTAAGCATTTAACAGTCTAACTAGACATCCTATCTCCACTAAACATTTCTAATACATAAAGTATCTATCCAATATCTATCTGACTAAAAATACCTAACAGTGCATTAACTAAGATTTTAAATATTTCCTGATTAAAAACAAAGGTGAAAATGGGATAGGAATTGGTGTCTCACAGCCATACTACCCTCCTTCTTTCTACAGTTTTTTGTTGCTATTCCAGTTTCTCTACCCTGTTGTCAAAATGCGGTTCGTAAATTCGCCCTGCCTGCCACCTAGCCAAGATTAAAATAAGCACTTTTTGGGTAGTCATTAGTAGTAATTTCAAAGAGCCAGCTGGGGAGGAGCTCTCGGCAGCTAAAAGTCTGAACCAGTGGCTGCCAGACTGAAGAGGTAGCATCTCTTGCACAGAGAGAGTGGGGCAAAGAAAGAGCAAAAACCAGGGTTAACATCAGTTTGGCGTTTTGACATGGAGAGAGTTCAAATCAGCCAAAGGACACAGATTTGATTCAGATGTGGTGTTATTCCCTCTGGCTGTGTTAGCATTGAAAGCTAATGTGTTTGTTTTGGTAACATTACCGACCTAGTATGATCATGATTTTACTGTTATATTGAATAAATGTGATTTTAATTTGGGAGTAACTTGAACTTTGTGTAACATTAATGCTTTATGTCACATTAGCAGTAAACAGAGCTTTCTACTGGACTGACACATTTACTCATTAATCAGCCAACACTAGCTTTGTACTGGTTGCTGTGTTTTGTACAGTTTGCCACAACCAGACAGTTCACTTTAGGAAACAGGACGAGGACAGGTTTGGACAGTTTGTTTTGAGTCTCACTAGACACTCAAGCGGCTGAAATGAAATTAGGCAGTGTAGCTTTAAACACCACTAAAGCTTTTGCTTCACTGAAGAGACAACAAATATCTTTCTAAATCTGTGTGGAGTGATAAGGAGACAAACATTCCTAAAATTAATACATGAAACAACATAAATTGCAAATGATGTTATGTGTGTTTCTGTGTTCATGTCTCTGTATGTTTTCATACAGGACAGAGAAGGACAAAGCCCCTCCTAGTCCTTATCTCACCATCTGCAGTAACAGTAATGTTGAAGTCAACAATGACCAGGTGCTGGTCACCACCTGCAGGATGCGCACCTATATTTTCCCCTTTGACATACAGAAATGCAGTCTGTCCTTTAGGTCTGTCATACACACTGGTGAGTGTGAGGCGATGCATTTTAAAAAATATTTTTATTGTCACATCACTATATCTTGTGTCCAAACACAAACTATAAGCACAAATCATTGTGCAGAGTTCCTCCCTCTTGCAGATTTAACTTCTTAAATTTACTTTGACATAGCCTGAGGCAGTTAGCCACCGATAGACAAGAGGAAACACCTGCATTTATGATAGTCCCTCAACTCAGTCCACCACCTATCATCCACTGATTCCTTGTTACTTTAGTAAAAACAACCTCATAGTTCTTTCATCCTCCACCTCAGCCAATGAAATTAAGCTCCAACCAATGGACAACTCTTTAGAGGCCACACGGGGGTCTCGTGAAGTGATGCAAACCCAGTACGAATGGCTGTTCATCAGCATGACAGTCATCGTCAGCAATATGTTGAACCAAGATGTCATAATTTACACTGTACATATAAGTAAATACAGATGTACACATGTAGAGAGTAACTGTATCACTAAGCACTTGAATTAATTATAGATTGAGGTAGCTGTACTTGAGAATTTCCATTTTGAAAGATTTAAAACTATTTCTTTTGTTCTGCATCTTCCTGTTTGTTTTTCCCTTCTTTCCTCATTTCTATTTTTCTGTCCTTCCTTCCCCAATCCTGCCCTGTCCACCTTTCCTTTTTTGTCCCTCTGCTCACTCCTGTTTCCTTATTTATTTCCTTTTCAAACTGATCTACAATGTGAAACCTGTCTGCAGTTCTTCCTTTCTTAAACATTCAAATCTAAGACCTTTCCACTGTATTGTAGACTGAAGTCGGTGCTAACAGCAGCCAGAGGAGATTAGTGCAGATTACTTTGTTACTCCATTTTGTCTCAGTTGTGTTTCTCAGACATGCAGGAGTAGCTATATGTCAACCACCTGAACTTGAAACATCATTCCACAGATCACCATGAAGAGGAGGTCAGTTCTCTACATTGTCAACTTCTTGCTGCCTATCCTGTTCTTCTTGTGTCTGGACTTGGCCTCCTTCCTGATCTCAGACAGTGGGGGCGAGAAGCTCAGCTTCAAGGTCACAGTGCTGCTTGCTGTGACTGTGATGCAACTTATCCTAAATGAAATCCTGCCTTCATCATCAGACAGGATTCCACTTATAGGTACAGTATCTCACAGTCTTTTCTTCATCACAGTCTTTTCTTCAAATGAACAGGAATAGCACATACAACCACAACCAGTTGAAGCAGAAGGTTGCCCACCAAGAGCTCGGGTCTGTCAGAGGTTTCTTCCATTAAAGGGAGTTTTTCCTCCCTGCTGTTGCCAAGTGCTTGCTCAAGGGGGATTTGTTGGGTTTTTCCTCTATAATTTAATAATAATAAGCTCTAGACCTTACTGTGTAAAGTGTCCTAACATGACTTTTGTGGAGATTTGGTGCTATACAAATGGAATTGAAATCGAATTGAAATTATACAGTTACACTTTAAATCTGTTGTTGCTTCCGGGGATGTTCATGTCTCTTTCTGGAAGAGCTAACCCCTCTTACTCCCATACTGTAGCTGGCAGAAAGCTCCTAAACTGTCCATCCTGATTGCAGCTTGTCATCACCGGCCCCTGCTCCCATTGCCTGTTATTGCCTGCTGTTCAGGCAAGGCCCAGTGCATCTCAAAGTACCCATTAGAAAGTGCAAAAAAGAGTACCAGCAGCTTGTGAGAACTGTTGATATGCAAGAAAAAGTCCCAGTAAGAGTAAAATGTAGAAGTGCCAGTACTGCATAACGGTGCGCACTGTCCCACTTCAAGCACTGGGGGCAACATATGTATAAATCAAGAACAGTAAGGGGCCGAGAACAGAACCCTGGTGGACTCCACAAGTGATCGCTGTGCTAGCAGAGGAGGCATTCTCAACAGATATAGAAAAGGTTCTGTCTGTTAGAAAATATCCGAACCATTCAAGGGCACTAATGATGCTGCCTGCTCCCCTCAGCGGCCAACTGCATTGGCATTTTTGCTTTGATGATGCTCAGCCTCCTGGAGACAATTTTGGTGATGTACCTGATGGAGAAAGACTCTGCATCACAAGACAGTGGTGCAGACAAAGGTGGAAGCCTGAGTGAGGACAGTAACTGTTAAGGTTAGCCTCCCTCGCCAGGAGGGTGAGTGCCATGACTGTCACAGAGGTGAGACCAGGAGCCAGTTGCACCAGCTTTTTGTAAATTGAAAATAAGTCATTTGCCTTTAGTGGTTGGTTACTGGTCCTTATGCAGAGATTAGTTACTGTGTTTACTGTGTGACTGAAGAGGTAGCCAGTATGGAATATGGTGGACAGTCTGACCTGACACTTATGTCCTCATTACGAAACACAAGACCCCAACATTTTTTAAAGAACATCCAGATATCTCATACATGCACATTACATTACATTTAATAGAAAATATATCAGGGTCTCGTGTTTTGTAATGAGAAAACACATCACCCATTGTAGTGGTGCCTTTCAGTGATGTGTTTTTAATTCTTTTTGAACAATAGAGGTCTATGGCACAGACGAGTAAGACAATCCAGTTCTGACAGATTGACCAACAATAATCGTGAGTAGAGACAATTCATTGTCTCTACTCATCTGTAGGGGGAGTTTTGAAAATACTGTTAATATATAAAATAACCAGCTTTAGCCTTAATGATATACACTGGGAAGAGTTTAGGTATCTTATAAAAACAAGATGTCCATTTAATAACTTTAGATCCCATAATCAAACAGTGCTGAAAGCCAGAGCCATAGAGGCTGTTCTTCAGTTTCTTTCACTGTTTTAATTATGTCTTTTAGTTATTTCTTATAATTAATACATACTTGTTGTGTTATTGTAAATTTGGTGATTAAAACTTTCTTTCAGTGTTGCACAAATGGACTCAATGTGCATGTATCTACAATGTGTCTGCTGTTGAAACTCCATCTGAACTGTTGCCTGTGGCTAATGAAAGCTATTTTGAAAGCTATTTTTTCCAGCTCTTTTAACCAGGAACTCAGAGAGATGAAGCGGACCACTTGGATATATAAAAAACCGTGCTGGTTTATTCAAAGGATCACAGGTAAAATTAACATTACACGCCCAGGTATCTTCCACCTCCAATACTGCGTGCAGGCAGATGAAGAATGAAAGACCCTGAACCACAATAGTCTATACATTTTATCACTTCGGTTGGGCTAGCCCCATACTACACAGGGACGTCAAACCGTGGCGTCACCTGATATGCCAGCTTTACAGCGGGCCGTAGCAGTAGTCAAAACATGGAGAGAATCAATGTGTATGAGTGTTGATTAAGTGGTGTGTATCTAAGAACATTCTGACATGACATCTAGTGACATGTCATGACATTACACATAAGAAAATATTATGATTACAATTACGGTTACACATATCATAATAATAACAATAATCTTCCTGCCTGCTGACAATCAAACTTTTCTATCTAGTTATCCTTGACCATAATGCACCCTGCAAGAAACTCATGAGAATGACTAAGCATTTAAACTAGACATCCTGTCTCCACTAAACATTTCTAATACAACAAGTATCTAACCAATATCTATCTGACTAAAAAATACCTAACACCAAAGAGGTTAGAACTGGGTTGCACCTTTACTTCTAATCACAACACAACACGCTGAATGTCAGATGTAATAACAGACAGTTTTGCAGTCCATAGTTGTATAAATAGCTCCGCTAAACTGTTTTTGTAGGGCAAGAGTACCAAATCGATAGAGGAGTACGATGCCTTGGAAAAGATCTCAGGTGATCTGAGGGAGATGGAAAAAACAATGACTCTGCTGCTCAACAGCCGGAAGGAAGCGGAGAAACCCGGCTACTGGACCAGAAGGGCTAAAAGACTCAACAGGATTTTCTTTATTTTCTACATCATAAAGATCAGTCTGTTTTTAGCCTATATCTGTATACAATGGAATGTATAATACAAACATCTTCACTGATTCATTCATTCATTCATGAATGAATGAATAAACATCTTGCAAACCTAAATTGTGTTACGAACCATTCAAACATTGCAACAAACTTTAAGTCTAAAGTTTTAATTATTTTCAGATTTGCTTTACTGCTACAAATTCCCACTGTTCTTTTTGAAATGATTAGTACTGACTGCCGATGGCAGCAAACATACTGTATTGCCTACTCACCGAGGAAGTGGTACAGTGTAATTAATCTGCATATGTTGGCAGAATACTTGACTAGAAGAGGTTTGGTGATGTAGTACCTGCACTTGCAAGGCTGACTGTTGAACTGTTCAACCTAGCAATTTATCTGGGCTAGCACTAGTCAGCCACAGTCTTGATTGAACTTGTAAGTTTGCTCAGTTGCCAATGGGACTAAGTTCACACAGTTTTGATCATTTTTCTGACATTTGTTTTTAATAAGTTATTTGATTATATAAAAAGAATTTGATGGTTTAGACTGGCAGTCTGATACTGCCCTTTCACTTCTCGTTGCTACTGCGCAGAATCTGGTTACAAAGTGCGTCACAAAATCAGAGATGGCTGGTGCCATATTTGCAATGTTTTGGCTTCACTTCTGCATTATGGCAGGAAACGGTGATGCATGGTTCAATTTTATATAGCCTACACCCTCTACAATTAATCTCTGCACTTTCAATTAACTCCCAATGTAAGTGCCACTTGGTGTCATCAGGCTGTTAGGTAATTTCTTAGTTAGATAGATATTGATTAGAGATCTGTTGTATTAGAAGATGTTAGTGTAGCCAGGATGTCTTCCTCAGGCTGTTAAATGCAAGGTTAGTTAAAGCAGAGAAAGGCTGCAGTCAGGGACAAATATATTGTATAGCAATTCTTGGTTCGGGGTCTTTTCTGCTTCCGGGCTGCTTGGGCAGCCTGGGGGTTGGAAGATCTCTGGAAATGTAATGTTAATTCTTGCCTGTGACTCTTTAAATAAACCAGCACGGTTATATTTTTTATATACTCAAGTGGTCTGAGTCGTCCCTCTGAGTTTCTGGTTTGAAAGAACCGGACGAGGCTTTATAATAGAATAGAGCCTTTAAGGCCTTTAGAGCAACTTGTGGAGCTGCTCACAGTGCAGCCAAAAACTGAGCTGAGAGGATTGTTTTTTTTCTTTATTTTACACTTGTTGATAGGCGAAAATCATCTGTGAAGTTAATTATTAAATTTAGTTAAAACTGCCACATACAGAAGCGTTTAAAGAATGTAAACGCTTTGAACAACTTGTGTAAAATGATGTCCATAAATAATATCAAAAGTGAGGTTTTATATAAAGAAAATCTACATTTCCAACTCAAAATTCAAAAGCAGAAAGGTCAAAGCTCTATTACAGGGAGATGAACAGACAACTCGCCATCAAACAAACTTTTATTGAGGAAATGTACGCTGCTAACAGTCTGTTAGCAG